GGCGTTTCCATTTTATATCCGCCTGGCTTCTTATATTTCTGACAGATGCATCACATTTCTTTCTTCCTTCTTCATTTGTTCATTCTTGTAAATTCATTCATCCATTCAACAACTATTCATCATGAACTTCCCATAGGCCAAGTACTGGGCTAGATGATGTGGGTGCAAAGACAAGATCACTGCAAACATTATGCAGAAAAACTTATTTTTTTTCTTAAAAATATCTGAACCCATGTACTGGACATGTTAAGTTTGCCTCATTTAATATAAAAACTTCAGTCTGGAGTGGAAAAAAAAAAAAAGAAGCTTCTTTACACGAGTGCTTCTCTGCTTCTCCGACGTTAATGTGCGTAGGGATCACCTGAGGATTTTATTAAAATTCAGGTTCTGATCCAGTAGGTCTGGGGTGGGGCTTGAGATGCTGCATTTCTAATCAGTTTTCAGGTGATGCTGTTGCTCAGGGCAGGATTAAGGCATGTGAGGGCCCTAAACATTGATAATCTATGGTGCCCCCTCCTCTGCTTACTCACGTATTTGAACGGGATATATATATCCATGTATATATGTATACATGGATATATATATATGTGTGCATGTATGTGTGTGTGTCTTAGCTCTCCACGATGTAACTTCTTTTTAGATGCCATTATAATACTAGCAATTGAAGGCAAAAGTAGCTTATGCCATTTTAGCGGAATGAGATGAAGTGGATTATAAAATTTTTAGTGGTGTCAGGTACTAAGATTTTTACTATATCCCATATTTTCTACAAAAAGAATATTCCACATAATCTACAACAAAGAAGATGAGTCAGCAAATTTAGTTGTTTCAACAATCAGTGTAAAATCTGCTCCTGTAAAGAGTTAGAGCCTAGGAGACCCTATGGAACAGTTTTACTCTGTCCTACAGTGTTGCTATGAGTCAGAATCGACTCGGCGGCACCCAATGCCACCACTATGGGGTGAGGGTCCTTAAGCGGTGCAAACGATTTGCACTGGACTGCTAACCTAACGGTTGGCAGTTGTAAACCACTCAGTGGTGCTTCAGAAGAATGGAGATCTGCTTCTGTTAAGACTGCTGTTTGTTGTTGTTGGGTGCTGTCAAGTCAAGTCAATTTTCGACTCATTGTGACCCCATGTGACAGAGTAGAACTGCCCCATAGAGTTCTCTTGGCTGTAATCTTTACAGGAGCAGATCGCTAGGTCTTTTCTCTAGTAGAGCCGCTGGGTGGGTTGGAATCACCAGCCTTTTGGTTAGCAGCCAAGTGCTTAACCTTTGAGCTACAGGGCTCCTTAAGATGACCACAAAAAAAAACAAAAAACAAAACAACAACAACAACAAAAAAACAAACCAGACCCATTGCTTGCAGTCGGAGCAATTCTACACTGTAACACACAGGTTCAGCTAGAGTCAGAATCAACTCCAAAGGCAATATGTTTTTTTTGTTTGTTTTTACTATGGGCTGAGTAGAAGCCCAGATAGAAAGACGTTTCTTACAATGAAATGAGTTTCTTCAGCCTCAAAGAGGGGGAAGGAAAAGGTGTTAAGACAAGCCTCTGCAAGAATAGGACAGGGAGGGCCTGTTTATGACGAATTGTTACCTGCCACCCACCTCTCTGAGGGAGTTTTCTGGATCAGACCTAAGGCACCAGAGACCAGGTTACAGGTTTTCTCCTAGGAGGGCACAGATCATCGCCTGCCTCACTGTTTTGAAACATCACAACCGAAATGGCTTTCATGTTTCTAAAAGAAGAGCAAGAAGGCCCAGCTTCTGAAGGGAAAAAATAGTTTTCCGATAACCCCTCCATTAACTGCAGGGGTCATTGTGGCAAAATGAATGGGATTAGAAACCCGCTAAAAGCTGCAGTATATGCTACGCGGTGACTGACAAGCCTTTCGCTGAGCAGTTACAAATGGGACTAATGGTTTAAACTTGTTAGTCATTGTCAGAGGCTCTGATCCTCCAGCCGGCCATGGAAGCTATGGCAGAAATCGATAAGGCACCACTTTCTGCAGTGAACTGCTAGACCATATAGATTGCCTGGAGGGAAATGCTGAGTTTCCTCCCAGGCTGCCAGATGAAAGCAGGCAGCTAAATCTCCAGGAAGATTGACCACACTGCTCCGGGGCAATTAGGCCTTTCACCACTTTGAACGATGATTATAAACGGGGGAGAGGGCTGGGAGAGGGAAGGGGAAGACAGCTCTGCAGGACAAACTGAAACCCCAAAGCCATTTTGGGGATCCTTGTCAGTTTCATGGTCACGGAGGGCTCTTTTTTTTTCTTTTCTTTCCCTTGTTCAGATTGTTACACAAAGAATGTTCTGGAGCTGCCGCTTTCCTTTATTTTTTTCCTTTTCCTTTATTTTTCTTTAGAAGCTGCAGAAGGGAGGACAGGCTGCAAAAGCAACACTTGGTTGGTGATAAACTGTAAACTACAGCTGAACTCCATTAATCCGTTCAATCCCTAAAGCCTGTGGCCTGAGAGCGTGTCGGAGGAGGGCTTCCTGTTGGGCACATTTCAAAACAATCACACCCCATTGTTCAGTGCCTTTTGGGTAGAGCCCTGAGAATGTGCCAAAATCATCAGCGAAAGAAAGTGCATGTTCGCACAACAATTGCAGACAAGCAGCAGATTATCAGCAGGCTGCAAGGGGCGCGAGGGGCTGGGGCCGCTTGGCAGAGGGCTCGGCTTTGGAGAGGAACAGTCTATCTGATGCACACAAGGCTGCACCCAGCATTATTCTAAGAGCGTCCAAGTGCTCCACGGCTGCCTAGGCTGCCAAGCCAGATGTGCAAGAGAAGAGGAACAACAGGAGATGTGCAAAGCTTTGCTCTGGTTTACTCTGGAAAGGCAGGACAAGCTCAACATCCTACAAAGAGTTTCTGGCTTCTTCCTGCTTCATCAACTTTCCATTTCGCTCAAATTTCAGTGGGATACATCTCTTTTCCATTGTTCCATTGTTGCGTTCTATTCCCTTTCTATTATTAGCTTCATGATTGATTTATTTATTTTTCTTATAATCATGCCCAGGCTCCTAGTCTACTGTTGACTCTATAACGCGTACTGTAAAGCATGTTCTGCTAAGTATTGTTTAACTGTCAAGTGGTAGGGGAGGCAAGATGTGATGGGAATAATCCCAGATTGCTGCTATGTGGGAGGGCTGTCAATCAGAGGTTCTTGAGCCATGTCATCACCTTGGAAAATCCAGTTCTTGGTGGAAAGTGTTGAAAAGTCTCCTTTCTGAAGTTTGCTCGGCTGCTGGTACATGGGGAAAGATTTGTATCTTAAGGATGTGCATACCAAGAAATGAAATGCTGATGTTCATTAGGGGACAAGAGGACACTTGTAGGGCTGGAAACTGCATTTCCTTAATGGTAGCTTTCTCTTCTGTGAGAGGGGTACCTCAGGGGAATTCTGTGTTGTCATTTTTCTGATGCTTGGAAAGGGGGGTGTCTTAGTTTGCTAGTGCTGCTATAACAGAAATACCACAAGTGGATGGTTTTAAAGAACAGAAATTTATTTTCTCAGCGTTTAGGAGGCTAGAAGTCAGATGGACACCGGCTCTAGGAGAAGACTCTCGCTCTCTGTAGGCTCTGGGGAAAGATCCTTGTCTCAGCTTCTCTAGCCCCGGTGCTCTTGGCTTTCTTGTAGATCTCCACAAGGCATCTATCTTTCCCCCATTCGTGCTTGCTCCTCTCTGTGTCTAATCTACTTTTTTTCATATCTTAAAAGTCATTAGGTCCAAGACACATCGTATACTGATGTGGCCTTGTTAACCTAACAAAGGAAAGCCTATTCCCAAATGGGATTACTTCCAGTTATAGGGGTTAGAATTCTGTGTTAGTCATCTAGTGCTGCTATAACAGAAATACCACAAGTGGATGGCTTTAACAAACAGATGTTTATTCCCTCACAGTTCAGTAGGCTAGAAGTCTAAATTTAGGGCACCAGCTCCAGGGGAAGGCTTTGTCTCTCTGTCAACTCTGGAGGAAGGTCCTTGTTGTCAATCTTCCCATGGTCTAGGAGCTTCTCTGCACAGGAATCTCAGGTCCAAAGGACACACTCTGCTCCCATTGCTGCCTTCTTGGTGGTATGAGGTCCCTATGTCTCTCTGCTCACTTCTCTCTTTTATATCTCAAAAGAGACTGGCTTAAGACACTATCTAATCTTGTAGATCTCATCAATATAACTGCGACTAATCCATCTCGTTACATGATAGTGATAGGATTTACAGCACATAGGGAAATCACATCAGATGACAAAATGGTAGACAATCATACAATACTGGGAATCATGACCTAGCCAAGTAGACACATATTTTTGGACGACACCAATCCATGACAGATTCCAACACACATTTTTGGGTGATGCAATTCAATCTATTAACAGAGGACTCGGGCTCTAAGGGGGAAACTAATAGGGCATTTCTTTACTCATCTTCAATTTGCTAAACATCCAAATGGGACATCACCCGTTGTGAGACACCTCAGCCAGGATGGTTCACAGGCAGTCAGGAAGCTTCACATTACCCACTTGTCCCACAAGTGTGCATTGGCCACTTATGAAAACAAAGGGGAATTATTACTGCTAACCAAATCTTAATCACAGTCATAAGTGAAATGAAATGAAGCAATTTATTTGATTTGAAAGATTCTTTTACAAAGTAAGTGAATATGACCTTTCTCAACCTCTTTATGGTGTGAAATGAGAATTCTTTCTGCAAGTCAAGTACATTTAAAAAAGAGATATTAACTCTATAGGCAACCAAGGAATTATCGGTTCCTTCAAAAAAATATTGAATAATCAGAGAACTGTTAGGTCCTGGAAGAATTTATAGAATTCAGAAAAAAGATACTTTCAGTTTTAGGAAGATAGTTGTTTTAACAATATTCCCCTTAGCTATGTTTCTTCTTAAATTATAATTTTATTGAGGGTGATAGTTTGGTATTCTAGAGTACTGGGCAGGAAATCGGGAGACTTGAATTCTAGTTCTGATTCTATCCTGGCTGTTTGGATGAACAAGGGCCTCCATCTCCTTGCTCCTCTTTCATCACCTGTAAAATGGAAAACTTAAGGTTCTGAGGTAGGCAAAATAATGGCCCTCCAACGAGTCCATATTCTAGTCCCTAGAGCCTGTAAGTATGGTATGTTACCTGGGAAAAGGGACTTTGCAGGTGTGATTAAGTTAAGGATCTTAAAATAGGGAGATTATCTTGGACTGTCTGGGTGGGCTCAATGTAATCACAAGGGTCCTTAGAAGATGGAAGAGGAAGGCAGAAGGATCAGAGAAGGAGCTATGATGGCGAAGGCAAGGTTGGAGTGATACAGTGTGAGAAGAACTCAAGTTGCTGGCTTTGAAGATGGAAGGGGGTCATGAACCAAGGAATGTGGGCAGCCTCTGGAAGCTAGAAATACATTTTCTCCTAGAGTCTCCAGAAAGAACACATCTCTGCTGACACCTTGGTTTTAGCCTAGAGAGATCCACTTCAGAGTTCTGTCCTCCAGAGGTATAAGATAATAAATTTATGTAGTTTTAAGCCACTAAGTGTTTGGTAATTTGTTACAGCAACAACAGGAAACTAATACAGATCACTTTTAACAATGAAAATATGAACGTGCTGTGTATAGAGGAGAATCACTAGAAAATTCCAAATCAGGTAGTGATATGCACATAAAGATGACTACTGACAAAGATTCGAGTGTAAAATTTAGGGCAGGGTGAAGATAAAACCTGGAGGAGTAGAAACCAGTAAGGAGGGAAGATAGAATACTGGATGGAGCCTGTGAAGGAAGAGAAAGAAACAAAGAGAAAGATGGAAACGACGTTGTAGAGGAAGAAGCAAACATTAGCATTTGCTTATGTTTAAGGTATTTGAAACAGCTCTAAGTACCCTCTCCCCCTTGGGTGGAATGGACATTTGTGATGGTTAAGATTGTATGTCAACTTGGCTGGGGCATGATTCTCAGTGTTTTGGCAGTTGAATAATGTTGTGATCACTTCCCTGTTGGAATTTGATACGTGATCACCACTATGATGGCATCTGTTGAGTGGTACTAGCAGGGGCTGGGCCTGTGGTGGCTCACAACCCCCTCAACCTTCATCTGTCTGCCCTCTGCTGGCTACTTCCTTCCTGCTCACCTTGCCAAGGTTTTTGGCTTGTTCCGGACCCAGCAGCTGCATCCTGTCATCTCACCTCCGGTTCTTGGGACTTGAGCTAGCAGCTTACCTGTTGATCTTAGAATTCGTCGACCTTCCCAGCCTGTGAGTGGGAGCCCTGCTCTCCGACCTGCCAACCTTGGGTTTGCCAGCTTCTGTGGCTGCTTGTACTGGGAGAGGCCTCTACCCTGATCAACGGACTTGGAATGTTCTAGCCTCTACAATCACATGAGCTGTTTCCTTGACACAAATCTCTATCTATGTTTATATGATTTACTGGTTTTGCTTCTCTAGAGAACCCAGCCTAAGACAACATTGTTAGTAGATAGATATGACTTTAGAAGAAACAGAAACTTAGAAGGGGCCATTGTGATTGATTTCCTCATAATGAATGTAACAAAGCATTCTACAGCATCTCTGAAAAATGTTCATTATGTCTGTATTAGAATACTACAGGACCCTCACCACTTCATGGAACAACCCCTTTTATTGGACAGCCCTAATTCTTAAATAACATTTCTTATACAGAACAAAATTCTGTTACCTCATTATGTCCACCCCTTGGTCTTAGTTTTTTTTTTTTTTTTTTTTTTGCTAATTTTTGGTGCTCTGAAGACCTCAAGATGAATGTGTCTGTTAATGAAGGGGATGTGGGCATGGAGTGTGGGGCAAAGTTCAGGACCAGAGAGATACGGGGCAAAATCATCTGCATATATGTATAGACATTCAGATTTGGGGTGGGGGATTTAAAAGTATTAAAAAGGTTAAAATAACTAGGAAGTATTCCACTAACATTTTCACTGCTTTATCCCAAGAGCCACAAACAAGCCTAGCTCACGTTGTTGTTAGGTGCCATCTAGTTGGCTCCAACTCATGGCGACATTTTGTATAATAGAACAAAAGTTGCCACGTCCTGCATCATCTCTATGTTCTTTATATGTTTGAACCCATTGTTGAGGCTATTGTATTGATCTATCTCATTGAAGGTTTCCCTCATTTTCACTGACCCTCTACTTTACCAAACATGATGTCTTTCTCTAGCAAATGGGCTTTCTTGATGAGACATCCAAAGTAAGCAAGATGAAGTGTCACCATCCTTGCTTCTAAGGAGAATTTCAGTTGTCTTTCTTCTAAGACTGATTTGTTCATTCTTCTGGCAGTCCACAGTATATTCAATATTCTTCACCAACATCACAATTCAAATGCATCAGTTCTAGCTCATAGTCGGACTCAACAAATATTTGTTGACTCAGTGAATGTCTCCCACTAATGACAATGAAAAACTCTAGTAGTAAGTAAATGAGAAATTATGACAAAGCAAACTGAACAATCAATTAGATTCATTATATTGGGAACAAGGTATACTTTAAACATAATAATAGCTTTTTTTTTTCTGATTTGAAAGTCTGTGAGCTGTACTTTATTAATATCTTAAAGGGATGTTGTACGTTCTTCTTTCTAATGGGACCATAGGTGGTATGCAGGAGTACTTATATGCTCTCCTTTAAGAAACCTGTGATGTCATTGTCTGTTATTGAAGAGTATCAAGTGAGCACTGTTCTCCTTCCAGGCCAATGTACTGAAACCACATGGGTGGCTGTAACCTCCCACTAAAACAGGATGAGGAGGTTACATTGGGCTTAAACAATTAATCAGTGTTATAGCATAACAGTTCGAATATGGAAATTCTAAAGCTCCCACATGTTGATAAATGGCCAATTTATGCTAAGATCCATCAAGTGTGTTGGGGCATTTGGAGCTATCACTGCACAATCATGACGTGGTCATTATCAGACTGCAAATGGTCCAAAGAAATGACATGCCTCAGGAAGCAAGATTTGCCGGCAGAGCATGCCTGTTTCTACACTCAGTGTGAGGCCAGCTTGCTGTAAACGAAGCAATACAGCATGTAGATTAGCTCGTGCACAGCAGCTGCATGGCGGAAAGCAATTATAACACAGAGGCAACCCCACATGCAGGAACTAGCACCTCCTGAAATATGATCACCTCCGCTTCACAACCGAGGGAGATGCCAGGCTGAAATACGCACGCGGCGATAAAGGAAGAGACCTGAATATATTAGAACAGTGAGGAGAGGAGCTGGCGGTGTTCTTGAACAGCCTCAGCTGAAACTGAGGTCTTGGCAGAGCTGTTGTTGAAAACTCTGTAGCTCCTCAGAAATATGATTCCTCCAGTGATACCACTGTCCACTATTTCTTTTGTTTACTGTGAACATTCAAGTAAGGAAGGTTATGGCTTTTTGTTGTTGTTTTTGTTGATTGACATGGAAATCACTTCCTTCTCACCAGCATACCCTTTTCCTAGAGAACTCCTTTCCAGAAATGAGCGGGCATCGGGCCAGGTGCACTTGCCTTACTGGATAGAGCCAGTTGGATGAGGATGGGCACGTGACCCAGGCTGTACCAACCAGACTCTATCACCAATGTTTTTCTCAATATTTGAATAAAAGGTGATGTAAAGCTGGGCCTGGGATGGTCACTTTTGCCACATGTTCAGTGAAACAGGAATGGACAGCCTGCAAAGTGCAAAGGAGCAAGCAGATACACAGACACATGGATGAAAGATAACAGAATCCTAAAGATATATATAAAGTTAGTGAATTTAGTTTCTGACTTTATATATCCCAGTTTCAGTCTCTCCAGAACCAGTAAGAAAGCCAGTTGCCATTGAGTCAATTCCGACTCATGGTGACCCCATGTGTGTCAGAATAGAACTGTGCTCCATAGGGTT